GAATTGCTCAAGGATTTTTTTTTTTTTTTTTTTTTTTTTTGGGTACTGTATTTGGCATTCTACGTACATATAGGTTCTTTCTATAGTCATTCGCACATGATGAATTTCAAAGAGCTATCTACATGTGAGATAGAGAGTAAAAGTGAGAGTCGTGTGATCATCCTTTAAGTGTTCTTCTTCATAATAAAAATTTATGACGATGGGTAGGCATACAGATGATAAATCACTATAATTACTTGTGTTTGCTTGGGTGTGTTTTTTTATATCGTTTAATATTGTTCTTGTAATTGAGATTGTTAATAGAGACTGTTTCAAAAGCGAATAAAGCTGTTTGTATATATGAAATTGAAGAAAACATAACAGATGACGAGGTGACAATACTGCATTGACTTATTTATATTTATTTCATGTCCAACATCCAATAAATATTTGCTGGTTGACAATCTGTCAAAAAAAATTGTACATGTAGCATTTTCCTTCAAAAGTTATGCAGAACATGGAAGCATGGGCGGATCCAGGGACGGGCTGGGCCGTGCTATAGCCCGTCCCTTCAGCCCAAATGTCCATTAAAAAAATTGAAGTAAATTTTTTTTTTTTTATGTGCAATATTTTTTTGTTTTATATACATATTAGCCCGTATTGAATTTTTTCTTGGATCTGTCACTGCTTGGAAGGAAGTTCTATAAGTTGTGCGTAATCTGAAGGCAAATCAGTGTTACCTTTCGCACTTCTTGGAAGCACTCAGTTGGACGGTGCGGGTGACTAAATACGACTTTAAACAGTTAAAGATTGCATCTTTGGGAAGATTTGGAAGTCAGTCAGAAAATATACTATTTGTTTAAACATTTTTGAATGAACTGAAAATTACATTCACCCAAGACCTTCTTGTCATGACAAAGACTAATCGAGATGATACAATGAATTATGTTTTTTTTTATGTTAAAGTAAGGAATAAATCTTATCAACAAGTTCAAATTGCTCCTACTTTTGGATATGTGGTTGTGATAACCCATTTTATTGTTTTTTTTTTTCCTCCTCCCGTGAATCTTGCATTGAATTATTTTTTTATTATTATTAATAGAAGAGTTTAATCGAGGAAATTGTCCCATTTACCTTTCCTGCGAAAAAGAGTAAGAAGTTTCTTTTATCATTTTGAATAAAAATATTTGATTGGCGTTCACGTGAAATTGCAAGTGCACGATATTAACAATCTAGTAAATTGGAGTTAGGGAGTTTGAATAATCGTCTTCACAAATATTGTATTACTTATTATTGACTTAAATCAATCTTACTTTTATTTCAATCAGTGCAAAAATCTAACGGGTTGCTATTTTAATTTCTGGACAAAAACTAAGCAATGATTAACTAACTAATTGACATGGTTGATTTTGTGATGTAGATCGAATCTACAAACACACAATACTAGCAACTCAAACAGATTGAACTCAAAAAATAAACTTTTTTTATTTCATGAATAACTGAAAATCTTAAGAGACGTTTTAGAGTCTTAAATACGAAAAGAATATATAATCTACTGGGCCAGCAGTCCCTTAGTGGGTTGGGCTACAAAGCGAGAATAACAAATACTGAAAATAATAAACTAAGAAAATTTAAATGTCATTTTGACCCAATAAACGAATTCAAACAGTCAAAATCCATCATATATCACAGCAAAGCTGTGAGTTCATCCAAAATCGTCGCGATCTTTCCAGAATGGGGTTATAGACCTAAAACGTATACCGTATCCAAAAGTTATGTAAATTTCTTCGAACGCCGACCATCTAAACGTTCCATATACGCAAGTGCATGTTCCTCCAAACGAATCTCATCATTTTGAGATTAAAATTATATGCAAAATGCTATGACTCGATTTTCCTTAATTCTTCTCCTTGATTTGTCATACAAAGTCATGAAAAATAATTGATGTGTATCCGCTCGAACTTCTCAAATTTAATTGGATGCAATGGCTCGATTTCATCTTAATTCTCCTCCTTGATTTATCATACAAAGTCATGAAAAAAAAATAATAAAAATAAAAATAAAAATAAAAAATTTGATGTGTATTAGGTGGAACTT